TCCTTTTGACTCTATTTTAGAAATACCACTAAATCTCATCCCCGTCTCTACATCCATATCCTACCAATACCCAGTGTCCAGTTCACGTTTGAATTATCTTTTCCCTAAATTCTGTCACCTGAGTTATCTGTAAAAGATCATGTATCTGAACATGCCACTTTTCCTGTTTAAGAACTTTTCTAAAAGCAATTTGACAATAGGCATCTTGAGCCTTGAAAAATTCTTATCTTTGTAATAACAAAAAATGCAGATCAAGATTCATGTATCAAAATATTTATCACAGCATAATTTAGGACAATAAAAATATGGAAACCTAAATGTCCAACCATAGGGAAAGCTTTAAGCAAATTGATTCAGCCGACATGGCAAAATATTATAAAACCATTAAAAATTAGATTTTCAGATAAATTTTGGCAACATTGGAAATTTCCCATAATAGAATGTAAAAAAACTTTTAAAGCGGGATATGAAAAAAAAAAAAACTGTATGTGAGAATGAGCTCAGTTGTATAATATAATGAAGGCTGGAACAAAAGATTCCAAAATGTTAAGTTTTGTAATAGGACAGATAATTTTAACACTTTTCTTGGTATGCTTTCTAAGTTCTTTAAAAATACACACGTAATAAGATGAGAGCATTTTATTCTCAGAATTCCTCATGGGAAGAGAATTATGTTTATCTGGGAAAAAAAAAATACCTGAATGAGTGGTTGGCGCAGAAAAACGAGATCTGAAAGGAGCCGAATGTGGGCAGAACTGTTCTGCATGAGGAATGAGAAAAAATTTGTTGCTCCAGGAAGATGAGGGAGGAATGAAGTTATAGAAATGGCAAAATTACAAGTTCTGCCATGCAACCGTCTGCAAACCCTCTCAAATTTTATATAAGGTTTCTAAACTCATGAAATGCTAGGTGGTTTTTTAAAAATGGAAACTGGAGAAATGGGGCTTCTCATCTTGAAAAGAAGCATAAAGTTTTTCAGGAGGGATCAGAGGAAGCCCTGATTAACACTTGTGAACTCAGAGTTCAAGCCACGTTAAACTCTCTAAGTGGTAGGTCCCTACTGACATCTCGATTATACACACCTATTGCTTCTATAATCAGGAAAAAAGTGACAAAAGTAATTTTAAGCAAATATTGAGTAACTTATAGTTGACTACAAAATAAAATGTCAACTCCTCATTTGTGACATGCAAAGCATCCAACGTGTTTTAACAGACTCACCTCCAGCCAATTCCTCTTTGCCCTGCACTGGCAAAGCCATCCTAGATGACTGGTCATTCCTAAAATTAACCAGGCCTTTCCAGAACTCCATACACATTCGTGGCATCCAGGCTGTGCCATAACCTCAACTATACACTCTCAGCCTAGTAAACTCCTATTGAATCTCTGAGACCTAACCCAAATGTACCACTTTTTCATGAGTTGAATTGTGTCCCCCCAAATTCATATGTGGAAATCCTACCCCATTACCTTAGAATGTAACCTTATTTGAAAAATATTTCATTGCAAATATAATTAGTTAAATTAAGGTGAGGTTCATACTGTAATAAGGTGATCCTTAATCCGATATGACTGGTGTCCTTATACAAAGGGGAAATTTGAACACAGACACCCACACAGGGAGAATGTCATGTGAAGATGAAGGCAGAGATCTACAAGCCAAAGAATGCCAAGGATTGCCACCACCACCAGAAGCTAGGAGAAAGACATGAAATAGATTTTTTTCTTCACTGCCCTCAGAAGGAACCAACCCTGCCAACACCTTGATCTTGGACTTCTCTCCAGAACTGTGAGACAATAAATTTCTGTCGTTTAAGACACTCTATGGTACTTTCTTACGGCAGCCCTAAAAAACTAATACATGCCTCTTTTCTGCAGTTTGTTGTGACAACTCCATTCATTCTGTCCAGAACTAATTAGCTTTCATTTAAGTCCTTACTACGTTTTATGAAATCATACATACCGGCACAGTAGCATTTATATTAAATTTTAGGAAATTATTTATGCTTCTAGAATGTGTGTTCTCAAGAGCATGTGTTTACCTGCTTACTTTTTTAGAATCTATAGTCTTCTTTCTTTACATAGACACTACCTTAGCCTGGATTCTCAAGAAAACTGAGGTTGAGGCAATGATTAGGCATTGACACTTTAATCAGGGAAGGCAAACCTAGAGCAGTGAGGGTGAGAAAAAGGAAGTGACACAAGGAAAGTTGTGAAGCCACGCGAAGTGACCTTACTGCCTGGAGCCACCATGTAAGAATCCGTGAAGACACAAA